TGTAGGGAGGGTTGACTCAAACACCTACGTGGAAACCCATCACAGTAGTAGGGAATGCTTAGAGTGAAGATGGCAGGTCAATGTGGGACAGTGAGTCAGGGGCTGAGGAGGGACAGTGAGTGTTTATTCCTGCAGGATCACAGGGCTGAGAATGGCTTGTTTTCCAGGTGGTGCTGCCAGGAGAGTGTGGGAGGAGAGGAGCTGCTCCCCTATCCTGCAGCTCCCTTCTTGTTGCCTTCCTGCTCCACCATGCCAGACACAACATCATCCTCTGCTCTCCTTGCCCTCTTGCCCCTCCTAGTCCTGCTCTAGCTCTAATGGGGCTGTGGAGACTGTGGCTGGGTTTAGACCCTGCATGATGCTAAGTCTACAGCCTATCCCACCTTTCCTTCCTCCATGTGTCTCCTCTGGGCAGGGACCTGGATCCTGTGGGATATCTCAAGTGTTCTCAGGCTAAACAAACAGCAGCTCTGCCCCCAGGACAGTGAGTAAGAGATGCCTAATGTGTTATTTAACAGCTACCCCTGTGATATTTAGGCAAGAACAATACAGAGGGTAGAATAAATTATTCTAATTTAAAGCCTATTGTGCTTGTAAGAGAAGGTAGAGCATATTCACCAGTCCATATGCCTCAACAGTTGGCTGGAAGTGTTGTCAGAATTGTACCCAACCCTCTCCAGGTTCTCTACCCAGTGTGCAGTTGCTCTGAGATCTACATATATTCACAGCTAGAACTTTAAGTATGAAACTGATTTGGAAATTAATTTGGCAACACAAATTCCTATGGGATAAAGAAGTCAACACCTTCACCTCTCCCCTGTTTAGAACAGGTCATGACTTAGGCTAAGGTTAGCAAATCAGAAATGGATTTTTCACTGTGATTTAAATTTCCTCCCCCAGTCTCCTGGCATGTCACAGGAATATAGTTATTGCCCTACAGAAAGTATAATTTTCCTAGTCTGGCATCCCATTCCTGGCAGTGATCTACAGCAGATGCTCTAGCAGAAGCCAAAACATTAGGAACCAAATGGCAATGAAATTCCATGCAGGAGTGTCCTCATCCTCAGGAGACACTCCTCCCACAGCAGGCTGAGGTGGTGGGAGGGGTATGGATGCTCTAGAGAAAGAACATCATTCTACAACTGCATAGCAAGACACTCCAGGTGTGTTGGTACCTACCCCTGGTTGGATGCTCCTTGTCCAGCTCAATGTGGACCTGTCTGATCCAAAGGTGTTTGCACAGGTTGATTGCATCACTTCCAAGAGGGCCAGGATATGTGGGATATCAGCAGTATTTTAATGTTATCCATGGATCTCTGGGGTTACTTTGTGGGAAAGCTGCATTAGCCTTTTGTTCAGAGGAAGGAGGAGAAGCAAATTCCAGCAGTGCCACTTGGACACTCATGAGGACACAGCTAAAGGTATGTCACATCAACAGCTGAGGACACTGTGGACTCCATGACAGGATGAAGATCTTTGAGTTCATCTCTGCTCATGCCATGCAGAGCCTCTGCTAATAATCTATGCACAAACAGGGTGATAAAAACTCCTGATGTCCTGGGAGTTCTGCACACTGACCATTCGTGCCCTCCAGCCATGGGCTGAGTGGTCAGGCCTGAGTGCTCTCCGTTCCTCTCCTCTGAAATGCACAGCCATGTGTTGACTTGGAAAGCTTCCTGCTCTGTCCCAATAGCAATTTATCACACCCCCCCCCAATGCCACAGCTGTTTGGATCCACCAAGTCATCTGCTTTTATTAGTCCTGTTCCACCACCCACTGAAACTCACACCAGGCAGGAGAAGATCACTACCTACAGCCAAAAATAGCATTCCTCTCACTCTGCTCTTCCAGCAACTTGGGAAACTCAGGGTTTTTCTGCTTTTCTGCTCTCCTCCCTGCTGCCCCATGAAGGCTGGCCCGGGCAGCCGGGATCCTCGGCGGGGCTGGAGTGCTGCTCTTCCTCGGCGCCTTCGGCACAGATTATTGGCTCCTGGCTACAGAGACCTGTGGGGTCTCCGAGTATGAGAACAGCACTCTGAGGACTGGGGAGGTGAGCTCTAAAATTGTCTTGTTTTGAAAGAACTGATTTATTTAAATGGTTTACACTACTTAAACGCATGATAATATTTGTGCTCAAAATGACCTGTTAATGTAAAACATCCACCTGAGCTGATGTTTATATTCCTTTATAATTTTTGACTTTATATTCCTTAAAATCCAGCCCTGTCTTTCCATAGTATTGTGCATTTTGACTGAAGTAAAGTGTGTCTAGGAAACATTAAGACAGCACCTCTGTAATCTGGCAGATAGGAACATTAGGGAATGAAAGGCAAAAATGTAAGAGCTTTAGTTGTTGACAGCATTTCCCTCGAAAGACAAAAGATATCTCCTGATATTTGCCATTAAAAGATTTCTCCCTCTGTAGTTTCTTCATTTAAAATTAGTTCATATTTTCAAATGTGGGACTTGGCAATCATTTGCATCTGAAGGGATATGACTACAGCAGAGACAGGAAAAAAGGGAAATATAGGAGAAGTGTAGAATCGTAGAATCACCAAGGTTGGAGGAGACCTTGAAGATCATCGAGTCCAACCATTAACCTGTCACTGCTGGAGCCCCCAAACCCTAAACCAGATCCTCCAGTGCCACATCCAGACACCTCTGAAACACCTCCAGGGATGGTGACTCCACCACCTCCCTGGGCAATATCCCAGGGCCTCAACACCACAACAGGGAAAACATTTCTCCTCACATCCAATCTGACTCTGCCCTGGCTCAGCTCAAGGCCATTCCCTCTATCCTCTCCCTGCAGCCCTGGCAGGACACACATCCCACACCTCTCTCCAGCCCTGGCAGGAGTTGCAGAGAGCCAGGAGGTCACCCCTGAGCCTCTTCTCCAGGCTGACCAAGCCTAACTCCCTCAGCCCTTCCTCATACGATATGTCATGTCAGAGAGGGACTCTTTGTTCGGATCTGCAGGGACAGGACAAGGAGCAATGGGCACAAATTGAAGGAGGGAAATTTAGGTTAGATCTTAGGCAGAAGTTTTGCCTGTTCTGGTGGTGAGACACTGTCCCAGGTTGCCCAGGGAGGCTGTGGCTGCCCCAACCCTGGCAGTGTTTACAGCCAGGTTGGATGAGCCTTGAACAACCTGCTCTGGTGGGAGGTGTCCCTACCCAGGGCAGGGGTTGGGGCTGAGTGATCTCTAAGCTCCATTCCAACCCCTAAAGTTCCATGTTTCTATGATTCTATGTTTCCCAGACTTTTTCTGCCCTTGTTGCCCTTGGCTGCACTTGCTCCAGCACCTCAATGGCCTTTACACGAGTTCCTGCCCATCCAAGAAGAATTCTCAAATTAACATTTATATAACATCTTAATTAGCAGAAAGTATAATTTTCCCAGGCCAGTTTGGTATTTCAGTGCTAAGCACTGGTGTCACTCAGAGATCCTTCCCAAAGTCTGATTTCAGTTCGCTTGCTGTTGTCTAACTCCTCTCTGAAATAACAACAGCTCAGTTCCTCAAGCCACCCACCCTTCCAAACTGGTTTGATGCTGATCAATGTGTGGTTTCAGTTACAAGATGACAGGAAGATCCTTGTTGTGTGCAGTCTTTCTGTTGCTTCAAAGTTCAATCCAATTAGATTTGATTTTTCTCCCGGCACAGTGAGTCACCCTGGGTGAGTATCATGATGCCAGCAAGGAAGATTTCTCTTTCATTTCTGGAGCCCATCATCAAATGGAGGACACTGCTTGAGTCATGGTTCCAAATGGTTTTCTCTAGTGAAAAAGAATAAGTGAGGGTGGTGAGACACTGGCCCAGGTTGCCCAGGGAGGCTGTGGCTGCCCCAGCCCTGGCAGTGTTCACAGCCAGGTTGGCTGAGCCTTGAGCAACCTGCTCTGGTGGGAGGTGTCCCTGCCCAGGGCAGGGGTTGGGGCTGGGTGAGCTCTGAGCTCCATTCCAACCTCTAAAATTCTATGAAATGTTGATGGAAAAACTGCCAGAAGAACTGAAACAGAAGATTTTTACTTGTTAGGCCTTGACTCTTTCAAGCAGTGCATTAAAGCCCTGGAGATGGCAGAGTCATGGATGGAGAAGTACTACTCAGGTTTTGTGTGGGAAGTGACAGTGTTAATTG